CGTACAAATGATGCTATTATTGCTTTCAGTTTGTTTATAAAAGCCCCGGACTTCACACATCAGCAGCACAGTCACCATTAACCCCCATAATGTGGGCTTCATGGCCGAAGAATTGTTTGTTTTTTTTTTGTTTTTTTTAAATCTAATCTAAACCTATTGCTTGGGTTGGTTAGTCTACAGTCCTCTGAAATGGATACAAAAAAAAGCTCAATGACCTCTTTTTGAGAACATCACAAAACCACTTTCCGTTGAATTAACCCCAAACCGCAGGTGCACGCGCGTTCACAAACAGCTGCATGCCATTCCCTCCTAATGAGAGACGCGCTCCCGGGCGAGAATGAGATGCGCATGCGCAATAGCACCCGTGTCTCATTTTCGGTGTGCCGGTTAATTCAGTTCCCCTGTTTGACCGTCACTGTGAATGTACCTGTGACTGTATATATGGGTGAACCAATGTATATGTGAGTGGACAACATGGCGCCATTCGCTCCCACTGTGCGTTTTGAAGCCTTTTTAGGGTCGAAATTGGAGTCGCCATTTTTGCACAAATTGGAGCCAGAGCATGCGCAGTAGATACAGCCTGTCTGCCTTTCGCCCCGCCCATACAACCTTACGCACGTGTTCACGATGATTTATGGAAAATAATAAACGGCGCTTCGGCTAACTCGAAGTGAGACAGCGTTATTAATTAATATGTACAATGCTAAACTGTAATGTCTTGCAGGAATAGTGTTTATACTGTTGCCAGGAAAATAATTTATAACTCTGAGTCATGACTGAGCTTTTGCTAGCGAGCTGACATTACCCATCATTTTAATCGATGTAATGTGAGTATAAGTAGCTAATGCAAGGTACCAATAGAAAATATTCTGATAAACAGCAGTCAACATTTATTCTGCCTGCATGTGCTATGGGAGTTCTCCTACTTTCCATTTCAGAAGTGGTAATTACGAGTGTGTCGTGTTCACAAGCTTTGTTGTAGGAAAGAACATGAAATATGGACAATGACAGGTTCATTCATACATAGGCATTTTTTAAAATTTTTTATTTTACTTTTATTTTGACACCATAACACATACACTATATTACCAAAAGTATTCGGTCACCTGCCTTGACTCACATATGAACTTAAGTGCCATCCCATTCCTAACCCATAGGGTTCAATATGATGTCGGTCCACCTTTTGCAGCTATTACAGCTTCAACTCTTCTGGGAAGGCTGTCCACAAGGTTGAGGAGTGTGTTTATAGGAATTTTTGACCATTCTTCC